TCTTCTCGTTGTGAGGCTTTTTTTTTTTTTTAAAGATTTTATTTATTTATTTGAGAGAGAGAGAGAATGAGAGACAGAGAGCATGAGAGGGAGGAGGGTCAGAGGGAGAAGCAGACTCCCTGCCGAGCAGGGAGCCCGATGCGGGACTCGATCCCGGGACTCCAGGATCATGACCTGAGCCGAAGGCAGTCGCTTAACCAACTGAGTCACCCAGGTGCCCCTCGTTGTGAGGCTATTATGTTTCCCACCGGGGTGGGCTAGGAATAGAGAACACATCCTGAAAGAATGGGATATTTGAACCTCAGAAGCGTTGTCCTATAAGTAACCAGTTAGGCAAGGAGGGAGGTTGGTGTCTCCGTGTGTCTCTGGGTCTCTCTGGGTCTCTGTCATTGACAGCGTTCTGCCCTGAGCCTCTTTTTGGGTGACCGCCGTCATGATGTCATTGTGGGGACCGCCCCCTGATCTGTTGTGGGTCTACCTGGCTGGGCTTTGACAAAAGGACAGTCCGCTTACTCTGAAACCAGGGGTGACGGAGTAGATCCTGGTTCGCTCCCTCTTCGGGTGAGTCAGCCTCTGTGGGCGTGCTGGGCCGTCGATGCCCCCGTGTCTGCAGTTGGGACCCCGGCCTGCCTCTCCCCCACATTTGCCAAGAAACTCCCCCATACCGAGTGCGCGCTGCGTCACCCTGATCTGAAGCTGTTGGTACGGACTGATGCTTGATTGATGCCAGGGGTCACTGGCGGGGCCGCCGTTTTCCTTGGCCACGCCCTGAGGGAGGAACGGGGCAGGGATGTTCTCTAGACCTGAGGGCATCAGGGGTCACCGGGGTGGGGGGATCAGGGACCCATTCTGAAGAGCACAACCAGAGTTTCTTTAAAATGTTTACTCTCCGCTTGTGTTTTTGGGAAAAACAGGTAAAATGCATGTTTGGGAAAAGGTTTGCTGCTATAAGCTGTGTGCAGGGGTGTCTGGAAGGGTCCTGCCTCAGGACGGGGCCTGGTTTCAGGTCTGCAGGTGCCCTGGAACCACCTGGGGGTGAGCTTACGGTGCAGGCTTCCCCTGGGCGGGTCTGGGGTCCAGGCAGCGGCCCTCTCCCCCCCAGCCCCCTGCAGGAGGCTCCCTGCTGCCGCCCTGGGGGTACGCTGCATTCCTCAGCTGTGTACCGTCACTGCCCGCCCCCGCACCCCTCGCTCACCTCTCCCTGCTTCCTTTGGGGCCGGGGAAGTACAGGCGAACCCAGGCTGGGGGGCTGCCCCACTGCCCAGGTGCACACGAGGGAGCCTGAGGTCCCACTTCCTCCTCCAGGCGGCCCCTCTGCACCCGAGGAGACCACAGCCTCAGGCCCCTGCGGTCCACGTGCTGTGCACACAGGCCGCCATCTGCATCCTGCACAGCGTGGACGCCTCCCCACAGCCCCCTTCCTGCCCAGCTGCTGTCCACACCCCTGCAGGGGGCCGACCCTGCTGCCGTCCCTGTCTGGCATGGCCCCCGGGCTCACATCGCCCCCCACCGCTCCCGCACAATGGCCAGTGCCTGGCTGCGTGTCTGTGTCCCCCTGAAATTCATATCTGAATCCTGATCCCCAAGGCGGTGGGATTAGCAGGTGGGGCCTTGGGGAGGGGATGTGCTCATGAGGGTGCGGCCCCCACCAGCAGGATTAGCGTCCTTACGAGACCCCAGAGAACCCCCTGGCCTCTCCACTGTGAGGACACGGAATAGACAGGCATCCGTGATCCAGGAGGTGGGTCCTCACCAGACCCCGAGTTCACCAGCATCGGGGCCTCGGGCGGTCACGCCCCGGAACCATGAGAAATGCTCAGGTTGCTCGTAAGCCGCCAGCCTCTGGTGTTTCCATTCCAGCTGCTGCCGCCGAGACGCCGAGTGACCGCCAAGTTGCTCGGGCGGGCACCCATCTGGGGCTGAAGGCTGCGTGCTGCCCCTGCGCCTGGCCTCACTCCTATCCGTCCCTCGGCCCCTCGCTCCCTGACACTGGAGTGTTCTGGCCTCCACCTTTCCCCGCAGGAGCACCCCTGGCAATACCCCGGGCCAGGCTCTGTTTGTGTCACGTGGACGCCGACCCTTCCAAACCCAGGTGTGGACTGGACCTGGGCGTGCTGTGCTCCGTGTGCCCACTGTCACGGGCCCAGCACCTGAGCCACCACATCCTGTCGGGGAGGCTGCAGGGGTGAAGGGGGAGCTGTGCGGACCATCCCGGGACGTGCCAAGGGGGTCCCTGCTGGCAACACTCCCCTGGGCTCTGTCTCTGGCGTGTCTGCACGGTACCCTGCAGGGCTGGGACCCCTCCAGCCACCCTCCTCTTTTCCTCCTCCTGCTCACTCCCTCTGCTCTCCGGCTGCGCCTTTGCTCTTCTCTGAACAGGTCCTGCTGCCCCGGGGCCTTTGCTCTTCTCTGAACAGGTCACACACGCTGCTGCCCCAGGGCCCTTGCACCTGCCCCTGCTCCTTTTCTCTTTTCTGAACAGGTCACATGCATCGCTGCCCCAGGGCCTTTGCACTTGCCCCTGCTCCTTTGCTCTTTTCTGAACATCACACAAGTCGCTGCCCCAGGGCCTTTTCTCTTCTCTGAACGGGTCACACATGCCGCTGCCCCAGGGCCTTTGCACCTGCCCCTGCTCCTTTGCTCTTTTCTGAACAGGTCACATGCGTCGCTGCCCCAGGGCCTTTGCACCTGCCCCTGCTCCTTTGCTCTTTTCTGAACATCACACACGTTGCTGCCCCAGGGCCTTTTCTCTTCTCTGAACGGGTCACACACGCCGCTGCCCCAGGGCCTTTGCACCTGCCCCTGCTCCTTTGCTCTTTTCTGAACAGGTCACATGTGTCACTGCCCCAGGGCCTTTGCACCTGCCCCTGCTCCTTTGCTCTTTTCTGAACATCACACACGTCGCTGCCCCAGGGCCTTTTCTCTTCTCTGAACGGGTCACACACGCCGCTGCCCCAGGGCCTTTGCACCTGCCCCTGCTCCTTTGCTCTTCTCTGAACAGGTCACATGTGCTGTGGCCCCAGGGCCTTTGCACCTGCTGTCCCTCTTCCTGGTCTTCTCTTCCCTTGGTCACCTGCTCCCCTTGGCACTCACATGTTCAGGGCCTCCCCGACCACTCTGTTAGAAAATCGCACCCCCTCCCCAAGCCCAGCTCCCCTCCTCCCCTTCTCTTCACACCACATGTTATGACCCTCTGACATGGGCATTTTAACCTCTTTGCCCACTGACGATTTGTCTTGTTTAAAACATAAATCCCAAGAGACGGGTTCTTCCTCCTCCCCACCAGGATCTGGCTTGCCGGGGATGGACAGGTTCATGGTGGCGGCTCAGTGCATGTCTCCTGATCAGGAAAGAGAAGAAAGCACAAATTCTTCAGCCAGTCGTCCCCCACAGTGCTTTCTGCAGACATTGGCTATCCTCAATTTCTATGATTGAATGTGCTTAACCGGTGTCAGGACTCTGTGTGCGGCCTCCGTCTTTGGGAAGGTGAACGTTTCCCCAGCTCAGATGCACACGGCCCTCCAGCTAAGTGGAGCTGCTTCTGCCTCCCCTCTGCCGCAGCATGTTCTGCTCACTCATCCCATCTGCAGAGACCCTTCTCCCCAAGAGACCCCTTCCCGAGGGTCCAGGAACGTTATGGGGACGTAATTTAACCCAGGACTACATCCTGATTTCCATGACGGTCAACTATAAAATCAATCAGTAAATGTGCATTTTAGAATTGATGCAATCAGCCACGTAATGTCTAGGTCACCTTTGTGCCAACCCACTGGGCATGTGCTTTCCCGCTTTGTGTGCACAGTAGAGTCACCGGGAGGGTGCACGAGATCCCGAAGCCTGACAGCCTGATTTAGGGTGTCTGGGCTGACACAGGTGCAGGTCTGTGAACACCTGCTCCCCTGATGGCAACCACGTGCTACTAAGGTCCACGGTTTTGCGAGCTAAGGGTCACCTTCCCCCGTCTGTTTCCCCACATTGCACTGTGGGACCCAAGGCTCGAGAAATGAGCCCAACTTGAGGGTAGCTCTCGTGAACCGTCAACTTGCCAATGTGTGAACCTTCTCAAAGTCACCCATGTGCGTCTCAGACGTTTTCTCTAGAAGCGCGAGGGATTGGCGGGTGGAGCCTGGCGGACTCAGCCGTCCCTCCCGCGGGAGCTGTGCCACGAACTCTTCTCTCTGCAAACAGGTGGGTCTGCATCACTTCAATATCCTTCGTGGCTGTCAGGCCGGCCTGGCGGTGTTCATCGTCTCCACACATTCGTGCTTCTGTCTGTGCGATCGATTTTCACCACGTGACCGGCTGTCTGTGAGGGAAGCAGGGGGCTGCTCCCCCAGCTCCGCATGCTCAGAAGTGCGGGAGGCACTGGGGTCACCTGGTCTACCCTGCATGGGTGTGTCCTCATCCCCTATGGACATGGGGACCCCAGGATACAGGCAGGTGGACCATGCTGCAGACAGAGCGTCAGGCGGTGTGTTCTGATCAAGCCCGTCGGTGTGCTCATTGGAAGCCCGTTCCATTTTCTCGTTTGTAGGTTTCCATGGATGCTTTTCTCCTTAGCAATAGCCTCCATGGGGGAGGCCATGCATGTGTGAAGGCAAGGGGTGTATGATAAATCGCTGAGTTTTCCCTTCACATTTCCTGGGAACCTCAAACTGTTGTTAAGAGAAAGTCTTGGGATGCCTGGGTGGCTCAGTCGGTTGAGCATCCGACTCTTGGTTTCGGCTCAGTTCCTGATCTCAGGGTCACGAGATTGTGACATTGAGCCCCGTGTTGGGCCCCACCGTCAGCGGGGAGTCTGCTTGAAGATTCTCTCCTTCTGCCGCTCCCCCCAATATGCACACTCGTGCTGTCTCTCAAAATAAATAAATCCTTAAAAAAATAAAAATAAAGTCTTTCAAAAAATACCTTTATTGAGATACAGTGCGCATACCATACGTCCACACATGAGAAGGGTACAATGCCGCGTCTTCGGGTATAGTCACATGCATAACCATCACCACGCAGAAACCTGAGAACGTTTTTGCCTCCCCCCAAAAGAAACCCATTAGCTGGATTCGTTTTTGAACAACTGCTGTCCGCGCAAATCCTTTTCTGTTTTCCGCCCAGTGGGAATTGCTTCTGTCAAGATGGCATCTTACTTCTTCTGGCAAGAAACGAGGACTGTTCAGGGGTTGGTGGGCCAACACGGATGCCATGCCAGTGGTTGGCGATGTACAAAGGGATAGCCGCTGTCCATTTCCAGCCGCTCTAACATTGGAGTCCTTTGTTTGCTCGTGTTCAGGACTCCGCTTCTGAAAGGGGAGGACGTCAGCACTGACCTTGAATTTTAAGCATTAGTCTTTAGCCCTTCTCAGCCCTCAATCTCATTAGTAAAGTAATCGCCTTAACAGAAGATCCCGGGGAGATCCTACCTACTGGGATGGGGTGTCCTGTCTGAGAAGCGCTACTTGCACTTTAATCAAACAAATGCGAGCCTTGGCAGATCATTTTGTTCCTCCTGTGAGCCCCCTCCCGCACCCAAGGGTCGTTCGCCATCTTACCTCTAGCTTCTGTGCAAGCACATCTCAGTCTCTGTCGTATTGCACGTCGCCCACCCAACCACAGGACAAGCCCAGCTTCTTGCCACGATGGCATTGAGTGCACCCTTGGAGTCTTCCCTGCACCCCCAGACAGGCGATGCTGCCCCCAAAATGGGGCATGGGCTAGGCGTGGTGAGCTGATGCTGAGCTCAGGCTTGCAGGGGTGTGGGGAGGAGGAAGGCTGAGGCCGCAGGACGGCCTCTAGCTGCCATCTGGGCTTTGCTTGTAAAGTCAAGCATCAGAAAGGTCACGAGAGACACGTGAGGCAATTCCAGGCAGTGCCAGGCCATGGCTCAGGCAAGGAAGAGGCAGGACAAACAAAAACTGAAAATGAGTTGATGAGAGTAGATTCAGGTATGTGATCTTTTAATGTAAATATCAAATGGGGTTTCGCATGGCTTATCAAGTAAATTGTGCAATTTCCGCTTTTTGAAAGACTGCCTTTATGTCTCCAAAACAAAGCCAGTTGGACCGGAACTTCAAATCTATTAAGCCATAGGACAGGTACCCGGCCAAGCGGTAGCAGAACGCAGGCATGTAATAAAAGTCAAAATAAATGAGTAAGATACATAAGTAGATAAGTAAGTACATAAATACGTGAGTAATCACAAGAGACATAGGTAGATCAAAGATGGCTGCAAGCCTACCCAGTGTCGGTTTTCCTCCTCTCCCTTACTCTTCGAATTAGAAAGGAAGAAGCCGAGTTTTAATTATATGTGGGCATTTTAATTACCCACACGGAAATCACAAGACACCTGGAAGTGTCGGCTTACTCATTGAGATTGCAGGACATAGAACGGTGTACAAGAGTCCGCGGCGTCTCTACACGTCAGCAGTGAGTCCTTAGAAGGTGTCCCACTACAGATGCCAGCATCCAGAAGAGTGGAGCAATGGCTCACATCCATGCATGGAATCTTGTAGGGCTGGGCTGTCCATTCAGGGTCATCCATCGAAATACCAGGGAGATTTTTCAGTGAACTAAAGTTGTCCCCCCCATCCCTCACCCGGCGCCCCTCGGTGCTGCCACTGTGCTTGCTACCCGCCAGGACATCCCCAGGATGCACGGATGCCCCCCGTCTCCACCTGTCTGCATGAAGCCTCCTGGATTTACATCTCTGGCCTGGAAATCTTGGCTCTGGGATGATAATGTTCCCTGCACAAAATCGCTTGCTTTAATAGACAACAGCCGCATGTGACTCCCAAGGGGCAGTGCCTGGGTGGCACAGGGGCTCCTGTCGGGTGAGCTCCGCGGGGAGGGGAGGTCTAGCTCGATGGTCCTGGAGGGAGGGGAGTGGGGACAGGCTGTTGCTCTTCTCTTCTCTCTCTGGGAGCCCATTGCCTGTGTGTGGCCTCCGCCGTCTGTCACCTTAGCTATTGCTGATGTCCCAAGCACAGACAGACAGCATGCAGAGGAGAAAAGGAATCATGTGGCCTTGTTTTAGAGGTCACTTTTGAGTGACACCCCTCACTAAAGTCCCTACCGCACATTTTTAGCTGTGGCAAGACATGCGATTGAAAGTAGTTTCAGAGTCCAAATCCATGGAATGGTTTCAGGGGCATTTGCTGGCTGTGGAAACAAAGAAGGACATGCCTTCAGACAGTGTTTTAAAGATCCTGAGCCCTGGATGACAGCTGAGCTCACCCCCTGTCTACTGTGGGTTAAATGGTGGCCCCCCAAAAGATATGTCCATGTCTTAACCCCTGCAACCTCAGGCTGGGAACTCATTCAGAAATAGGGTCTTTGCAAGTGTGAGTAACTGAAGGATCTGAGATGAGCTCATCCTGGACGAGGGTGGCCCTAAATCCAATGACAGGTGTGCTTACAAGACACAGAGGAGGACACACAGAGGCAAAGCCACACGAAGACCAAGGCAGAGATGGGAAGGATGCGGCCAATAGCCCAGGGATGCCTGGAGCCTCAGGAGCTGGAAAAGGCAGGAAGGACCCTCCCCAGGAACCTCAGGAGAGAACATAGCTCTGTCCCACCTGGATCTCAGCAGCCCTGCCCTGCCTGGATCTCAGACTTCTAAAAGGTCTCCAGAGCTGGGACAGGATAATTCCCTTGGTTTAGGCATATGGGCTTTTTTTTTTTAAAGATTTATTTATTTGAGAGAGCGAGAATGAGAGAGAGAGAGAGTACATGAGAGGGGGGAGGGTCCGAGGGAGAAGCAGGCTCCTCGCTGAGCAGGGAGCCTGATGCGGGACTCGATCCCAGGACTCCGGGATCATGACCTGAGCCGAAGGCAGTCGCTTAACCAACTGAGCCACCCAGGCGCCCCAGGCATATGGGTTTTGTTATGGCAGCCCTAAAAGATTAATTATGCCCCCTTTGTCTCCCCATGTAAAGGGGACTAGAGACTCTTCAATGCATGACATGAGTAATCGATGCTAGTGATTAGCAAGCATACTGGTTTTGGATGCGTTCCATAGCTGATGGTGTAAGGGAGGGAGGTGACAGATGCAGAGGCTATTTTAGGGCTGTGCGCACAGCAGGGACAGAAGGAGCGAGCAGAAAGCCAGCGAGTACCTTTAAGCTTTGTCATCCCCTTAATAGGGCTAATAGGATTTTCTACAGTGATCGGCCTTTGGCTCACCCTGGGCCTCCAGCAAGGAGCTCTGGCAGCGCCGAGTGGCTGGCCGCCGCACCACTTGCTAACCGACACACACACCCTGCAGCTGGGACAACCAGGGGCTCTCAAGGCCAGCCTGGCGTGGGACAAAGATGACTTGCCCCGAGGAACAGGCATACCGTCTGCTGACTGAATACTCAAATGGGTTCATGGTCTCCCAGGTAGGAGCGTGGGGAGAACATTCCACCGGGCACTCTTGGATGCCGTTGGTGGGAGCTGGGCGAGGGCAATGGGGAGTGACAGCTTAATGGGTACAGAGTGTCCTTTAGGGGTGGGATGTCCTGGAACTATGGGCAGGTGTCCGGGCAGAGGCTTGGGCCCTGGGGTGTGGGGCAACATTTATCAAAAGACAGGGATCGAAATACTGAAAACATTTTGTGATAGGGCAATATAGGAGCTCGTCCATTAACACACTAAAAAGCAAGGTGATGCATTTATACTAGAGGTGAGTCTGGGGGTCCGTCCACAACGTAGCACGCATCAGTATCTCATCCCTTCTTCTGACTGAGCACATATTATCCTGGGTGGAAATGGGAGACACAGGGGCCATGTGGTGTGTATTCCATTTATATGAAACATCCAGAATATGCAAATCCATAGAAACAGAAAGCAGAGTGGTGGTTGCCGGGCACTGGAGAGGGACTGCCAATGGGGACGGGCTCTCCTTTTGGGGGGATGAGAATGTTCTGGAATCAGACAGAGCTGGTGGTTGCACAACGCAGTGAATGTGCCAAACACCCCTGAGTTATTTCGTTTACAGTGGTTAATGCCGAATCTCCTGCTATGCGAATTTTACTTCCATAAAACAGTAGAGGCAAGTTATAATTAGATTTTATATATATTATATATTCCTTCATTTATTTCTTTTGTTAAATTTTTTTCAAAATTTTTTATTTAAATTCAACTTAGTTAACATAGAGTGTATTATTAGTTTCAGGAGTAGAATTTAATGATTCATCAGTTGCATTTCACACTCAGTGCTCATCACATCATGTGACCTCCTTCATGCCCATCACCCAGTTACCCCATTCCCCACCCACCTCCCCTCCAGCAACCCTCAGTTGTTTCCTAGAGTTAACAGTCGCTTATGGTTTGTCTCCCTCTCTGACTTCACCTTATTTTATTTTTCCTTCCCTTCCCTTATGTTCATCTGTTTTGTTTCTTAAATTCCACACAGGAGTGAAATCATACAGTATTTGTCTTTTTCTGACTGACTTCACTTAGCATAATACCCTCTAGTTCCATCCACGTCGTTGCAAATGGTGGGTATTCATCCTTTCTGATGGCTGAGTCGTATTCCATTGTGTATGTGGACCACATCTTCTTTATCCATTTGTCTGTTGAAGGGCATCTCCACTCCTTCCGTAGCTTGGCTATTGTGGACATTGCTGCTATGAACATTGGGGTGCAGGTGTCCCCTCAGATCACCACATTTGTATTTTTGGGGTAAATGCCCAGTAGTGCAATTGCTGAGTCATAGGGTACCTCTATTTTTAACGTCTTGAGGAACCTCCATACTGTTTTCCAGAGTGGCTGCACCAGTTTGCATTAGATTTTATATTTTAAAGCTCCATTGGTGTCAGGGCTGTGGGATGAGGATATTAGCAGTGGGGGGTGGTCTTTGGTGGGACACACACATGCTGTGCTGAAAATCTCTGGGGTCCAGGTGCTGAACATGTCCATGTGGACGGTTGTGTGGATGCAGAGGGCAGGAAAGCATTCACAGCTGCTGTGCAGGGGGACGGTGGACTTCTCTCATGGGATGGTGGGGTTCTCCCCGGCTTTTTGCAGTGAAACTCTAATTTTGAGAACACACAGCTTCACCAGGTAGTGGCTGAGCATCCGCGAGGCAGAGAGATACCCAAGGATGGCAGTCGCTGGGGCGGAGGGTCTGGGGCTGCAAGATTGGGGTGATGTGTGCAGCCAGTCGAGTCCAGACCCACTGGACCATGGTGCCGTGTGCGTCCTGGTTGTATTTCAAGTGCCCTGTGGCAGATAACGTGAGACACGAAGATGTCTTGGCTTTCCTCAGTCACTGACTCACAGGTATCGTAATACTACGGTGCTTTGCGCTTGATTCATAATCGAAGAGGGTGCTGACTTTGGGTGGGGGTCACTGAATACTGAAGCAGAATGTCTTCCCCAACCGAGCTCACGGATCCACCCAGATTCGGTCTGTAGACCCCCAAGGGTTAAGAATTCCTATTGTAGAGCCTTTGAGATACAGAAAAGGAGCATCCTTCTACAAAATAATCATCATAATTTGCTGTGTTTCTGTTGCTTGAAGATGTGACTGACTTGTGCTCGCAAGATGTTTCCTGGCCAGCTGGGGCTGTTTGCTCCTCGCTCACACTGGTGTTGGACGGGTTATAAATCTTGGGAGGAAAATCCCATTCAGTACACGTGATGATATGTTACCTAGTTGTCACGAGTTTAATAGAAGAAGATGGAACACAACCTTCACAGAATAAAACTTAATATGACCTTGACAGAATAATACTTAATACGACCTTGATACAATAAAACCTATTATGACCTTGATAGAAAAAATCTTAATAGGATCTTGATAGAATAAAACGTAGTACAATCTTGATAGAATTATACTTAATACAAACTTGATAGCATAATACTCAATATGACTTTGATACAATAAAACCTAATATGACCTTGATAGAATAAAACTTAATAGGATCTTGATAGAATAATGCTTAATACGACCTTGATAGAATAAAACTTAATATGACCTTGATACAATGACTTAATAAAATATAAATACAGTAGGAGTTCACACAACCTTAGTACAAGATGTCATATAGTCATAACAGGAGTTAATGCAAACTTAGCAGTGTAAGAAATAATACACCTTTAACCGAGTAAGAGTTCATACCGTCTTGATAGAATAAGGCTTGAAATAGCCCGAGTTAAGCAGTTTGTGCACCGTTAATAGAAGAAAAGTTCATACAACATTAGTAGTACGAGATAATACAACCTTCATAGAATAACAAGGAATGGAACCCTAACAAGAGTTGATACAATCTTAATGGAATAAGAGTTTGTGTTCCCCTCACAGAACGCAAAAGGAAACATTAACAAGACTTAATACGAGCTTAATAGAATTTTATAGATGGAGCGTATAGTTAACCTTGATAGAACTTTACTCCAGGGGTTCTCAAACAGGGACTTTGGCCCCCAGGGGGTACTCGGCAAGGTCTGGGGATATTTTTGGTTGTCATGGCCAGGATGGGGGTGCTCCTGGCGTGGGGTGGGTGCAGACCAGGGACAGAGTTGTACACCCTACAGTGCCCAGGACGCCCCACCCCAAAGAGCCATTCAGCCCCAGATGTCAGCTGTGCTGGGGTCTAGAAACCCTGCTTTCATGGAATAAGAGTTAAGAGGACCCTAATCACAGAATAACTGCAAATGCAGTATCACCCCACCCCCCGACCCCCCACCATGGCCGCGTGCGTGTGTGGTGTAGGGCTTTCCGTGTGCTCAGTGAAAAAGCAAACACCAGCCTACTTACTTCCTCACGTAGGATGGAGACGGGTCTTACTTTTATTCACGTTCATGCACGTATGGGACCAGTGCTGATCACCGTGTGGACTGAGTGCTGTGGGATGCACCTGGGCTCCAGGACCATCTGTGCACATGGGATGTGAGTGTGTGCGTCCGTCCTGGCCAATATCACTGAGGTCGCCCCAGCCCTGGCACCACCCATCCAAACACTGTGTGCAGGAGGGGAAAAAAATGCATTGACTTATCCATGTTTTATACTTTATGCATTATTTTCAGGCACGACCTGCCAAGTTCTTTAAACAGATAAATGGAAGAGAATAGGTAACACATTTTAAGACACTGACAGTGTAGGGAACACTGACCTCTGAACAGCAACAACAAAACACAGTATATGTATTTCCTTGTTTGCAAAATTAAAACAACTCAGTCCCTGGCTTTGTGCCCCTAGGTAATGGTTGCTAACAGTGAAGAGGCAAAGACTAGGGTCTTGAAAACTCACGTGGGTTTGCAGGTGGCTGTGCTTGTCCCTGTCCCTTTGCTGGTGTTCTCTTTGAGGACCAGAGGTTTCCTTCAGAGGGTGTTTCTTTGTTAGAATGGTTCCCAGGCTGTTTCTTTTTCAGAGTGATGCTGTTCTGGGCATGATGGGAGGGAGGGGGTTCAGTGAAGAGCTCCTAAAGACAGACGGGATGGGGGGCATGCTGCATACACCCACATGTGCTCAGCCTCCCCCTTTGTGTGCCAGCAAGCCAGTAAATGGCCCTGTGGAACCCTGCATGTACTCGGCAGCTGACCCCAGCCCTGGCCCTCACCATCCCTGGGGACCAACCTGTCCAGTAGATGGCATCACCCTGGACAGCTGGTCAACCCCACAGCACTTGGAGTGGTAGAAACAGGTGCTTCCTGAGTGAACGGGGGAAGCGTATTTCATTTCACGTCATTTCATTTCGTTCCGTTTTGTTTCTTTTCATTTTATTTTATTTTGTTTTATTTGTTATCTGTTTTATTTATTCTATGCTGTTCAAAATATTTGAACATTCATTTAAATTTTATTTAAACATTTTGTTTTACATTTTAAAAATATTAAAAATTTTAATGAGTTCATTTAATTTGAAAATTTTATTTTTTTCTTTAATTTTTTAAAATTAAAAAATTATTTTATTTTAAATAGACATAACATAAATTTTACTATCTCCACCATCTTTATGTGCATGGCTCAGGGGCATTGAGCACATTCACTGTTGGGCAACCACCCCCCTCCATCCGTCTCCAGAACTTCCCATCTTCCCAACTTGAAGCTCTGTCCCCATCAAACACTAATTCCCCATCACTGGCCCTACCATCTACTCTCTGTCCCTGTGGATGGAACTCCTCTACAGACCCCGTATATGTGGAATCACACAGGATTTGTCCTTCCGTGTCTGGCTTATGTCACTCAGCACCATGTCCTCAAGGTCCATCCACGTCATAGCAGGTGCAGAACATCCTTCCTTTTCAAGGCTGCGTCATATTCCACTGTGTGCATGGACCATACTTTGCTCATCCATTTGTCCGTTGGTGCATGCTTGGTTCTTAAATGTTTTGGGTACTGTAGATAATGCATCAGTGAACATGGGTAGTACACCCATGTATCTCTTCCAGTCTCCACTTTCAGTTCTTTTGGGTCCATATGCGGAAGTGGAATTTCTGGTTTCTATGGCCATTCTATGTTCGATTTTTTAAGGAACTGCCATAGCGTTTTCCATAGCAGTGCAGTGTCCCCCGAAAACGCACCCCGGCTCCCCATGGTGAGTACGGTTCCTAGGACACTCAAAGCTGGCCCCTTGTTTCCGAGGTTCTGTTTGCCGCCTGTGAGCTGGGCGTGTTTGACCTTCTGGCTGAGGCCCCAGAGCCCCTGGGCGCGGCAGCCGTGGCTGCACGGCTGGGCACCAGCTCCTGTGGGACAGAGCTCCTGCTGGACACCTGTGTGTCCCTGAAGCTGCTTCAGGTGCAAACAAGGAGGGGAAAAGGTAAGCATGTAGACATTATGTAAGTGAATGGGCATGGCTGGGTGTCAATAAAACTTTATTTACAAAGACAAGCGGTGGGCCAGGTTTAGCACCCAGGCTGTACTTAGCTGTCCTCATTCCAGAGAGGTCTCCACATGCTGGTGTGCACGTTGGTACCCTCATGAAGTATCCAATGAGCAAGGAAAAATGGGGAAAAACATCACATGGGCGTACTTCTCAATCAAACTAAATTTATCCAGCTAAAGGGTTGCCATTCCTTATATTACATTCTTGTTTTGGTGTTGAAATGGCTTTTCTCTTATGGAATATGGTGGTGGTAGGTTTTTTTGGTTTTTTTTTTATGTCCTTACTTTGCAAAATTCAAAGTGTCAACTCTATGTCACTCATTCTGACCACTTTTAGAATTGTAGATTCATGAAATTGCAAATGTAGAGAGCATTGCTTGAGCCAGAGCACATGAGAACAGGAGTGCTGGCCTGGCTGTGGCAGCCGTGGTCAGTGGCCTTTGTGCTTGTGGTATCGAGTCATGCACCAGTTGGGGTTCTGGGGTGCAAATACCAGTGATGGGTTAACTTGAGCATCCTGTGGGGGTTGACAGCTCTCAGGTACCCGGGCGTGGAGATCAAGCAGGTACGAGGGTGCAAGCTATCTGCAACCACCACCAGCCACTCCCTGAGAACAGTTTTTGCACATCACACGTACTGGGGTGGCTGACACTGAGCTTGCACCCCCGGGAGGACACCTCGGTCAGGAGACATTGGGTGCAGGGGGATGCTACTGGAGGTGGCTTCTGGCACAATTATCAGTTGTCATTTGACCCTGGGGCATTTGGTTGGTGCCAACACCCAGCTGGGGACCACCCCATGCAAAACAGCGGGCGCTCCGTGGGAAGCAGGTCCCCAGGAGAGGAGACAGGGAGGTAGGCTCAGGCATGGGACTGGCCATTTGCAGATGCTGCAGGATGGGGTAGCTCACAGCGGGGCATCTGCTCAGAGAGCAACCAGGGCTGTTGTGGGCCTGGGTCTGCACATCCTCCCCAGGGCTTTGTTAAAATGATGACATTCGCCCGGGGTTGGCTGCCTACTGCTTGGCTGAGCGTGGCAGAAAGGCAACCCCTGCTCCATCAACGTGATTCCAGTTTTGGAGTCGTTGTATCACCAGTAGAGTGTATATCCAAATCAGGTGTTATTTTAAAGCCCAGGGATTGTATTACAGGGTCCCCATCGGCTCACTTGCCCTTCCCACCTGCTGCACCACACTTTCCAACGGGATTTGCCAAAACAGAATAGAGCAGGTGCATGGGCCCCCAGCTGTGGCTGCAGGCCTTTTGATGCCCCTAGGCGAGAATCCGCTTTCAGCCCTGATATTGCCGATGCTCGCACCAGCAATGGCAAGGACTTGGAATCTCACTTAGCCTTTTTTGTTCTCTCTGTTTGTTTTCAGCTTTGTATCAAAACACAGAGCTCTCCAGCACCTACCTGGTCAGGGCCAGTCCCAAGTGCCAGGGCAACATGCTGCGGTACCTGGCCAGGACGACATATCTGTGCTGGGGCCACCTGGCCCAGGCCGTGAGGTGGGCATGGCCTTGATGGCATGGACTGTGCGCCAGGGCTCCCTGGGGGCTGGTTTCAGGGGGTCTCTGCAGCTGAAGTGCCAGGTTCCTTGTAGAATCAAACACGACCCCGCTAGGTGTGGAAATCCTGAGCAGATGTGAGAAACCCCCTTAGTCCTGGCTGAAGGAATTCACGAAGTGCAAATCTGCTCAGTTAAGAGTCCTTGTGCTTTAGTGGTTTCCAGGGAAAGGGCCTGGGCTGAGGAGGCAAAGCGGGGAAGATGGCATACAAGATACTGCCCGAATTATGATGGTTGTGTGCTCCACATCTGCTCTTGCACTCTGCGCTGTGGGTGTCTGGGGCTGGATGACTCTCTGAGGTGGGGCGTCCTGGGCTCTGCAGGGTGTGGAGCAGCGCCTCTGGTTCCTCCCACCAGGTGCCAGTACAATCTCCCCAGTCGTGATAATAAAAAGATGTCCCTAGACATTGACAAGTGCCTCTTGGAGGCAGAATCACCTGCAATTGGAAACCAGTGACATAGATGTATGGATACATAGATGGGCAGGTAGATACATATAGGGATGGATGGATGATCATATAGGGATGGCTAGATGGGTGGATGGGTGATGAATGGATGGTTGGATGGATGGATAGGTGGATGGACGGATGGATGGATAGATGATTGATAGATATAAGGATGGATGGATGGATGGATATATATGATGGATGAATAGATAGATACATAGATAGATATAGGGATGGATGATAATATAGAGATGGCTAGATGGGTGGATGGATGATGGAAGAATGGATGGACAGGTGGATGGATGGATGGATGGATGGATAGATGATAGATATAGGGATGGATGGATGGATAGATATGATGGATGGATAGATAGATACATAGATAGATATAGGGATGGATGGATGATAACATAGGGATGGCTAGATGGGTGAATGGATGGATGGTTGGATGATTGATAGATATAGGGATGGATGGATGGATAGATAGATAGCTATAAGGATGGATGGATGATAGTATAGGGATGGTTAGATGGGTGGATGGATGAATGGATTGGTGGATGGATGGATGGATGAAGGGATGATTGATAGATATAGGGATGGGTGGATGGATAGATAGATATGATGGATGGATGGATGGATGGATGGATGGATGGATGGATAGATGATAGATAGATAGATAGATAGATAGATAGATAGATAGATATGATGGATGGATGGATAGATAGATAGAGGGATGGATGAATGATAATATAGGGATGATAGATGGGTAGATGTATGCATGGATGGTTTGATGGGTGGACAGGTGGATGGATGGATGGATGAATGGATAATTGATAGATATAGGGTTGGATGGATGGATAGATAGATATGATGGATGGATAAATAGATATATATAGATAGATATGATGGATAGATAGATGATAGATAAATAGATAGATGATAATATAGGGATGGCTAGATGGGTGGATGGATGCATAGATGGTTTGATGGATAGACAGGTGGATAGATGGATGGATGAATGGATGATTGATAGATATATGGATGATGGATGATAGATAGATAGACAGATAGATACAAGGATGGATGGATGATTGAATGGACAGGTGGATGGATGGATAGATGGTTGGATGGATGATAGATATAGGGATGGATGATAGATAGATTGATAGATAGATGATAGTTGAATGGATGGACAGGTAGCCAGATGGATGGATGATACATAGATATAGGGATGGATGGATGGATGATAGATAGGTAGATGGATAGGTAGGTAGGTAGATAGATAACAATAGATGGATATTGATGGATAGGTATTGATAGATATTAATAGATAATAGATGAATAGATATTGATAGGTACAGATGGATATTGATAGATATTAATAGACATATGTAAATAATAGATATTGATAAATAGGTATAGAAAGATGTCAGATACTGATAGGTACTGATAATAACACAGCAAGGCTTCTCCTGCCCCCGGATGCCGACTGATGAGTCCTGTGGACATCAGTGTCCCCTGACTGCACGTCATTTTCGAGCTTTCTTCACACTGTTTTTAGAACCCGCTCCTTCCTTGCCCACATGGCAGAGCCAGGCTAGATGCAGCCTGCCTCTCTGAACACGTGTGTGTTCCATCCCAGAAGGGGGTCCAAACATGTGGTGACTGAGTCCTGTCCCCTGCTTGTTCTGTCTGTGACGGGAGGTGAGGATGTGTGACCCCATGTGTGCAGCAGCTGGTGCTCCCTGAACGTGGCAGATCCTGGGTGACCGCGTCCTGCCTGTTTGCAGGGACGGCAAGAACCAGTATCTGGAGGCATTTGGGGTTCCCTCTGACGAGCTCTTCAGTGCCATCTACAGGTAACGCCGAGCGCCCACGTGTGCAGGGTGACGCTTCCTTTCCACACACTCGCTGGGCGGAATACATGGGTCCAAACGGAGCAAAACAGAGGGACGTTGATATTTAAAATTTAAAAAATAAAAAAGATGACAGATTTGTTTGTGTTGGTCAGTGTGCTGAGCAGGCAGGAATCTGTCCTTCCCCCCAAGGCGCTCTACGTGAAGCAACAGTGATGTAGAAAAATGAGGAATGGGTTTTGTTTGGGCCAGAGTTACCCAGGTAGTAGGTCAGCTCTACGCACACACTCGGGGCTGCTGTTGGCGTGGGGTCTGGTACCACAGTCCCCAGGTGGCGATGCCCGATGGCTCGTTGCAGGGTTCCTTGCTGGCCGAGGGCCGGGAAAGGGGAGAAGGACGTGCACGGGGTGTGGAGTTCTCAGGGCTGGTGCCTGAGCTTTGCCCAGTGCCTCCCCTTCCATCCTGTGCTTTGCCCGTTTCCAAGACCCCTGCTCCGGCCACAGCTTCTCCCCTGATTTGGGTATCCACACGATCTTGACGAGCGTGGTTTCACATGCAGATCTGAGGGCGAGCGGCTGCAGATCATGCGAGGTCTGCAGGACATCTGGAGCATCAGCGGGAGGCATGTGCTGGCCGCTTTTGACCTGTCCCCGTTCCCGCTCATCTGCGATATTGGTGGTGAGCATCGGCCCCACGCATGGAGCTGTGTCTTAGGGCTAGGGAGGGAAGACAATGGGGATCCCATTTAGGATCGGAGACAAGGCATCCCGTGGGCGTCCCACAGGCCGTGGGGGTTCCAGCTCCTCCCCAAACATGGCGCACCCTCTGCGGTTCTGACCCCGTGCATTGGGGAGGGACCAAGAATCTCTGCTCCCAGGGACGCGGATGCTGCCGAGGCCCGGGCCACGTGGCTGTAGACATTGGCATTGCTCAGCGTGACAAGGGAGGCTTTAGAGGATGGTGGGGTGCAGCCATCACGGAGCTCCTGGAAAGCAGTTAGCAAAGCCATCGAGTCAACCTTGCCATGCTGCCTTCCCGGGGCAGGCAAAGCGCCGTGTGGGGCTGCAGGGGTCCGCCAGGTTTTCTGGGCTCTGAGGGTCCTGATGCGAACACGGATGAGGAGGATGCCCACGTCTTAAGCATCTCCTGTGGCTGAAGGCTGGGCGTGGCATATCCTAGAGCAGATGCAGGAGTACTGGGTGTTGGTCATCTCTGTCCTAAAGGGTGGAAATGTGGGGTTCGGTGGAGGTGGAGGTGGGGGCAGCCAAGTCTAACCCCTGGTCCCTTTCAAGCAAACGCTCTTGCCCTGACCATCCCATGCTGGTCCCATAGAGGAGGCACGGGGAGCATGAACCCCACTAGATGGGGATTCAGGGGCTCCCAACACCATGTTTGCCTGGGTGCATGTTCTGGGGGTGATGCCAGCCCGATGTGGCCCTCCCGATGTGGGCATGTCTCCATCCTTTGAGCAACACAATGGCTCGCTGGTTTGGGCCAAGCTGCCTGGGATGCAGACAGGCTTCAAGGTGCAGCTAAGGGACCCCCGGTCATTGGTCCCCAGATCTGAGATGCTCAGACCTGTAGCCAACATCAGGGCAATGTCCCCCCACCATCTCGGGCAGTAGGACGCCATGATTGGGAAACTTGATGTGGTTTATTCAAAAGCGGCCCCTATGCCTGGCTCGCTGTGTGACTTTGGGCACATTCCGTGGTCTCTCTGTGCCACAGAATCCTCAGGTAATGGGGCAGTCCCCGCATGGGACGGTTGTGGTGCCCAAGTGCGTGTCTGCCTATGAGTCACGCAGAACGGGGTCATAGTGGTCAACGGGTTGGTCCAGCCAGGAAGATTCGTAGATTCAGGGGCTCATAGGTGATGATGGAGCCATGAAGACCTCCATGGGGGGCAGAACCACATCCCCCATGTGGATGCCCCCTGGGGGTCGATGGTGGGCCAAGGTGCATCTGCTCACACCTTCCTGTCCGTCCACTTCCAGGCTGTTCTGGGGCTCTGGCCAAGGAGTGCACCTCTCTGTACCCTGGGTGTCGGGTCACCGTGTTTGACATCCCTGAGGTGGTACAGATGGCCAAGAAGCACTTCTCATTCCTGGAGGAAGCGCGGATCAGCTTCTGTGAAGGTGGGTTGTTTCCATGGGCTCTGCGTGTGCACGGAGAATCATAGATCCATCCCCCGGGGGCTCAGGTCTGGCCGAGGATGTACCATGGGCATGGCTTCCTCCGCCCTGCAGGCAACCACCCTCAACTTAGAATTATTATTGGTGATGCCTGGAAAACGGTGTACAGCTAGATAGTTTTCCTACACTTAGTTCTTTCTTGAGTATTCGGCTGGATTGAAGAGTGTTTCCTCAAAATTTGTGTCCACCCAGAATTTGTGAATGGGGCCTTATTTGGAAACACGGTCTTTGCAGATGTGATGAAGTGGAGGATCTGAGATGAGCTCATCCTGGACCAGGGTGGCTCTAAATCCTCTTACAAGGACAGAGGAGGAGACACACACACAGAGGAGAAGCCACATGGAGACAGAGCCAGAGATGGGAGGGACATGGCCACAAACCCAGGGATGCCTGGAGCCCCAGAAACTGGAACAGGCAGGGAGGACACTCCCTTAGAGCCTCAGAAGGGAGTATGGCCCTGCCCCGCCTGGATCTCAGTGGTCCTGCCCCACCTGGATCTGAGACTTCTGGTCTCCAGAGCTGGGAGGGGATGAATTCCTATGGTTTAAGCCCCAGCTGGTGTTGCTTTTCTTACTCAGCCCCCAGGACATGCATGCAGGTGTCTAAATCCAAAGCACCAGTGGATGACAGTACATGAACTGGGTTCAAGGGAAGCTCAGGGACATTTGCTGACTCAGAAGATCAGGGAGACTCGGCCATTCTGAGGCTCAGATGCTACCGTCATGGCTGGGGTCATGCACCTGTAGGGTTGAATACTGTCTTTATGTAACATTCCCAAACTTTGACCCTCAGGGATATTTTGGGGCCTTAATGTTCATTTTAAAAACATCACATTAAAATATTATATATATATATATAATATTATATATATTTTATAAAAATATAAAATCTTATATTCTAAAATATAAGAAACCTGACCAGGTTTGGGGCCCCTTAAATTTTGCACACATGGAGAGTGTCTGACTCGCCTTACTCCGAACATGGCCTCCGGGAGTCTATCACACGTCTTGGAGAGGATGATCGGATTTATTTACGTTCTTCATCTGGAAAATGGGAGAAATACACCAATGTCAGAGGTTGGGGGTTCAGGCGAGAGAGTGGATTACTTTGTTATTACACAGCTGAGCTGGGCTTTTGGTGTCTCTGCCGTTGCTCACAAAGGGAAAGGTGGTGGAAGCTTCCCGTGTGTTCTTCATCTTGGGGTCTGGATTGTCTCCTTCACCTGCTGCGCACAAACAGATGGCCCACCGAACGTGGCCCTCGGGCCAGAGTTTGCCAGCCCCTGTCTTTTGTCGCTGATGGAAGAAAATCAGTTTGGAGAACTCCCCCTTTGCTCTGCCCTATTTCGTGGGGGCAAATGTCTGTGGGCCCTGGATTTCCTGGGAGCCTCAGAACAGGGCAGAGTGATGGACTGACCAGTGCAGCATCCAATGCATACTCTTCTCGAATTCCTGTGAATTTGTAGAGTTTGGACAACATTCGGCTGCTGGTTGACCCAGCACAGCACAAGGCTATCCAAGATTTCTTCCAAAATTGGTACTTCTTGCAGGAAAAATGTTACGAGAGTTGAGTGTTTGGCACCATGTATGCATGGAGGGTCCTTCTTGGGCATTTTTTTTTTTTTTTTTCCAATCAGGAAAACATGTATCGACTGTTGATTGACTTCAACTCATCAGACAGGAACTGCTGACCGATTGCTTGGGGTCTCCTGAAATCCATGGCTTAGAGAGTCGTTTACTTGCAACCTTAGGAAATAAGATAAAAAGAAAAATCATTTTCCAGATCTGAAGGACAGAAAGGGACGCCAAACACCATTCCGAATTTTCTTGTCTTCACTGAGACTTCCTTTTGTTCAGGGCTAGGTCTTCCTGTCCCAGCTAGGAAGATCTGGGGACAGGTCCACACAGCTAGGTGACTTTTCCATCCTGGGTGCAGGTGTAGTCAACGCGGGATTGAGTAGCAGGCTGACCCCAGGGCACCTGCCTGTGTTATAGGAGATTTCTTTAAAGACCCGCTTCCGGAGGCAGATCTGTACATCCTGGCAAGGATCCTGCATGACTGGACCGATGCGCGGTGCTCACACCTGCTGGCAAGGATCCATCATGCCTGCAAACCAGGTAGGTCATGGGGCCGTGTGTCCACATGCGCTTGTGGTACATTCAGGGTGGGATTGTGCTAGAATCTTCGTTTGGAGGCTAGGTACTGAACGCGCGTGACAGGTAAGCGGGGTCAACTCCCAACTGGCTTCCCTCTGGATAAGTCATTAAAACAAAGCAACATTAGTACCCATTCTGTAACTAATCCCAGGTAAAGTTGCAGAACATGGAAGGCTCCCATGGTGCACACCTTGCTGGGTCGAACCCCCGTGTATGGTTAGGGTAGGGGGCATTTTGTGCACCTGCTCTTCTCACTGTGCAAACTTGGCTGGTGCCCAGGGGGTGTCCTGTGTGCGCCCATTCTACAGATGAGGATGGAAGGCACCCAGGACAGTGGGAGAGATGGATGGGCTGGGGGCTGGGGCAGCCAGCCTGGAAGGTGGAACGGGGTCCTCAGGCTGGCTCGTCCCTTGCTCACAGCCGCCTCTCCCTGTCCCAGGTGGCGGTGTCCTGGTGATCGAAAGCCTCCTGGATGCAGATGGGCGGGGCCCTCTGACCACGCAGCTGTACTCGCTGAACATGCTGGTGCAGACGGAGGGCCGGGAGAGGACCCCTGCCCAGTACCTCGCACTCCTGGCTCCTGCCGGCTTTCAGGACTTCCAGTGTAGGAGAACCGGGGGCATTTACGATGCCATCCTAGCCAGGAGGTAGCTCCCCGAGGGTCTGCAGCGACCGGCCCAACTGAGCACCCTCACAAATGGGGGGTCTCTGTTAGCTTCCTCATTTCTGGGGGGCTGACAAGGGAGTGGGGGGTCTCTGCTGACTGTTGTCAACTGCCCATCACTCTGTGGATTTTGTCTTGTTCTGTTTTATTCTAGTCTATGTCATTCTATTCTATTCTATTCTATTCTATTCCATTCTATTCTATTCCGTTCTTTTCTGTTCCATTCCATTCCATTCTGTTTCATTCTGTTCTATTTTGTTCTACTCTATTATGTTCTTTTAAAAAAGGTTTTATTTATTTATTTGACAGAGAGACTGAGCAAGAGCGAGCACAAGCAGGGGGAATGGCAGAGGGAGAAGGAGAAGCAGGCTCTCTGCTGAGCAGGGAGCCTGATGTGGGACGCAATCCCAGGACCCTGACATCATGACCTGAGTCGAAGGCAGATGCTTAAGTGAATGAGCCACCTAATCTACTCTGTTCTATTCTACTCTATTCTGTTCTACTGTTTTACTCTATTCTATTCTGTTCTACTCTATTCTATTCTATTCTGTTCTATTCTGTTCTACTCTATTCTATTCTATTCTGTTCTACTCTGTTCTATTCTACTCTATTCTATTGTCTGCTATTCTACTCTATTCTGTTCTACTCTACTCTGTTCTGTTCTATTCTGTTCTACTCTATTCTTTCTATTCTATTGTATTCTATTCTACTCTATTCTGTTCTATTCTATTCTATTCTATTCTACTCTGTTCTATTCTACTCTACTCTGTTCTATTCTATTCTACTATGTTGTATTCTACTCTACCCTGTTGTATTCTACTCCATTCTGTTCTACTCTATTCTGTTCTATTCTACTCTACTCTATGCCTATTCTATTCTATTCTATTCTATTCTATTCTATTCTATTCTATTCTATTCTACTCTACTCTATTCTTTATTCTGTTCCATTCCATTTCTATTGTATTCTATTTATCCCATTCTATTCCATTTTCCAGCTTTCTGGCAGTATAATTGACAAAATTGTATATGTTTAAGCTGTACAACAAGATATTTTGATGTACGTACACATTGTGAACTGATGACCACAACCGAACTAATTCACACACCCCACACCTCACATGGTAACTTTTTTGTTGTTGTTGTTGTTGAGAACATTTCAGATCTGCTGTCTTAGCAACGTTCAAGTGTATGATAGTTAATTATAATCACCATCAACATTACGTCCATAGGACTCATTCCACTTCTCACTGAAAGTTTGTGCCCTGGGACCCCCATCTCCCCGTTTCCCCCCAGCCCCTGGCAACCACCTTTCTGCTCTCTGCTTCTGTGAGTTCCACTTTTGTGGATTGTCTTTATCTTAGATGTGGCAGGTGCACTTCACAGGCTGCATTTGGGGCAGCACTGACCAGAGTGGACACTGGACCTCTGCACCTTTTGCCCCCTTCACCCATTTCACGCACCCCACCTCCCACATCTGCAAACCATGATTCTCTTCTCTGCATCGATGAGCTTGGCTCTTGTTTCCTTTTACATTCCACGTAGAAGTGAGATCATACGGTATTTGTCTTTATCTCACTTGGAATAGTAATGGCAATTTATTTTAATTTTTCTTTTGGTGTGGTGTGAAATTTGCCATTTTAACCTTTTTTTAGATGCTCAGTATAGTGGCATTGAGTGCATTCACACTGCTGTGTAACCATCTCCACCATCCATCTCCAGAACTTTCTCATCTTCAAACTGAAGCTCTGTGCTCATGAAGCATTAACTTCCTATCCCCTCCCTAAGACCCTGGCCCCCACCATCTTATGTTCTGTGTCTATGAACTTGCCTGTTTCAGATTAAATTGCAGTATTTTAACAATGGATGTCTCCGTGTGTGTGTGTTTCCCCCCCAAATTGTAACTTCTTGAGCACCAGGTATAGGATTTTCTGCCCTGAATTTAGGTGTTGAGTGGCCCAGACAAGGCAATACCCATCCCACAAACTGGAAAGTGCTATGGGATTTAGGGAATTAAGACTGGCAACCCATGACTTCAAGGTGGCTCATTAAAGTGTACGGTGCAGGGAGTCCAGCCAGTCTGCTTAAAGCCAAAATTGTTCCCGGGTGCAGCCATGCCTGGGGAGGTGAGCCGTGGTCACCCTGGTGCCGGGGCCCCTGATCTCAGCATCCGTGGCCAGTCAGCACTCACACACTTGTCTCTGAGACCCAGACACAACACCTGCTGGTCCAGATCATTCTTTTAACCGCCACAGGGCTGCAAGGGAACCCGCAGATAACCTTGAAGCTGTAGGAGGTCCCTGTAAGCAGGAAGGGCACAGGGTTGGCAATTTCTATTCCCAGGATTTGTATTCAAGAGTAACCTGACCTTGGGCAGGAGACCTGCCTTGTTGGACCTTCAGCCTTCACATTTAAGAGTGGGACTGGGTAATCTATAAATCCCTATGTATCTTAGACCTTCTGTGAGTCTGAATGCATTGAAACCAGTGGTTCTCAATGGGGGTGATTTTGGTAATGTCTGGAGTCATTCTTGGGCGGTCCAGTGGGGAGGAGGTCCTGCTGGCATGTGGAGTGGAGACCAGGGATCCTGCTCATCACCCTGCAGTGCCCAGGATGCCCCAGAGAGTGGTGCAGCCCCAGACGTCCACAGCGCCGAGGCTGAGAGGAGCCGGGTTAAAATGTGGCCCCACTGGAGCTTTCCTGATGCTCATGGCTCTAGGCAGAAGGTCGGCTTTTAGGGACGTGTGAAAGTCTGCCCGGTCCTGGCTGGCTGAGGGCTCGTGTCAGGCTGATCCCACAGCAGGACGGCTGGAAGCCTGGCCCAGGGCGGGTCTGCTTCTCCTTCTGGGGATAGGGGGACGAGCAGGGGTCGCAAGGACCTTCTTCAGATGGTGCCAACCAGCTCCTGGTTGCAGAGTGTGTGCTTGCCGGCGTTGGTCCAGCCTCTGTGGGGCCGGGTGGCCTCGCCAGGAGCGACCCTCCAGGACGCCAGCAGGCACCTGCTTTGGCTTCTTCCCCATCGCTTCTCAGGACAGCCTGCAGGGGAGGAGATGTGTGTAGCCTCCTCCTGCTGCCAGGTGATGCATGGACCGCTCGGGATGGGGATGCCCGTCTGGCAGCAGGTGGCGCCATGGGGCAGCTGATGGAACAGGCTCCAGCATCCAGCAAAGGCACCAAATCCTGGAGACAGCGGGGTAACCCCCCCGCCCCCGACAGACAAGCAGCCTTTATTCCTTTAAACGTCAGGTGTCACGAAAACAAGAACAATGTCCAAAAGTACATTTTCATCATTTTTTTTTGCTGTAAAAGACAAATACCAATTAATACAAATCATAATACAAGTTAGTCCTATACATTGAGAGCAAGAGGCGTCTTGCTCCCTGATGTAAATAAGGGACAGCACCCTCCCACCTTCCTTTTCTTAGAGCATTTGCTTCTAGAGAGTTCATTCTCCGTCTTCTGCAAATGTGCACATCTTCAAGAAGCCTGGGGCTGTCTCAGGGCTCCAGGACCTGGGAGCATCTCTGGAAAGTGGTTGAGGAACAAAACACCTTTCTCCCAGTTTGTCAGTTGTGTGTGTGTGGGGGGGATGAGCCATGGTGACAGGCATCTTGCTCACTCCCCCACAGGATCTTCAAACGAGGGGGCAACAGAGGCACAAGCAGAACATTTCCGTTAATTCACGTTAATTAGCAGGATGTTGCAGTCCATAAGCTTTTAGCAAAGCATCTCGTGAGGAATCCCTTCCAGGACAGGTGCGCATGCAAGGTGGGGAACATTGCTTCCTGCCTCCCCGCTCTGTCCCACCACAGACGCTTCTCTGGGGTCAGATCCCGTGCGTTTCCTGCGTAGTGTGCATGCTGTGAGCTCAGTCTCCTTCTTGGCTGCCCGGCAGACTTGACAAATGAGTCTGGATAGGATGAGGCCCCCTGGACCGGATCTGGGTTTCAAAGACCCATTGAGGGGGAATGACACCAGACCAAAAGGTTCTCATTGCATTTCTCATTGAACAAACATGTTCCCGAGCAGCGTCCGTGATGCTGGGATGGTGGTGGGCTGGGGGGCATTGCAGACAATGAAACAAGGCACACAGCCAATGTCACATCAGGGCAGGGGGCTGGTCAGCCACACCGAGGCCCCTTCTTTCTTCCTTCACTTACAAACTTGATGCTTCCTTGGTTTGTGGAAAACAGTCGGGTGCTTGGAGACGTTTTAAAAGCAAATAAAAAATAATGCAAAAAAAAAAAAAAAAAAGCCAAAAACAAAACAAACAACCCCAAACCAGTGACCCACGCTACAACAGAGACGAACCGCAAACACATCATGCTCAGAGACAGAAGGTGCTCACAGAAGGACACAATAGTGTATGGTTCCATTTATATGAAATGTGAAAATGTGATGCAGAGAAGCTCCTCGTCATTCGTGGTCCCCCTGCAGCCACATAGACGTCCGTAGAGTTCTCAAAGTGATTGCAGACCCTGAAGGAGACCATGAAGCCGCAGCTCCCACGGGAGGCTGGACCACAAAAGGGCTGATGGATGGACTCCAGCGGCAGAGCCCGAGTCTCCAGACGAGGACGGGTTCCTACATCAAAATCTTGCAGGCCCAGGGATGAAAACCATGTCCTCCCTGCTACACGACATCTGCCTCTCTCCAAATGCACAAACGCTAAGGACTGACACCCAGGCTGAACACCAGTGTCCATGCAAACCCACTGTTTTTCGTTGATGTTCATTGGTTTGTTTTTCTGGGACACCAGGAACTCAACATTGCATAAAGACCTCAGGCCTCTATCTGTTCACACAATGCACCATCTGCATCTCCTGTCCTCAGATGCAGGAAGCACACTTTGACATGAAGAATCCAGAAAATTATACCCAGTGTGCCGAGAGCGACGGCCCCCTGGAGCTTGTGCAAATTCCTCGCTGTGTGTTTGCCGCCGTGCAGCGAGGGTGTTTTATATCTTGTCTGCTGGCACATCTGTCGGAGG